GTGTGCACATCTCTCAGAGCACCATGGAGTGCCTGCATGGGGAGTTTGATGTGGAGCCCGGGAACGGCGGCGATCGCTGCGAGTACCTGAAGGAGAAGGGCATCGAGACATACTTGGTGGTCGTGCCCAAGGGCCCGGTCGGGAGGAACGGAATCAACGGGGTGGTGAGTCTCACCCTGAGCACTGGAGGGGAGCATAGCGGGACCCTCGCATTCAATCACAGGGCCCCTCCAAAGTGCTGCAGGCTGTCCCTGTGTCTGATCACTCCCCCGGTCTCTTCCTCTCTCTTTCTTTCCTGTCTCTCTTTGGTCCCTTTCTCCCTCCTTCTTTCCTGCCTCTCTTTGGGCTCTTCCTCTCTCCTTCTTTCCTGTCTCTCTTTGGTCCCTTTCTCCCTCCTTCTTTCCTGCCTCTCTTTGGGCTCTTCCTCTCTCCTTCTTTCCTGCCTCTCTTTGGTCCCTTTCTCCCTCCTTCTTCCCTGTCTTTCTTTGGTCCCTTCCTCTCTCTTCGGTCTCTTCCTCTCTCATTCTTTCCTGTCTCTCTGTGGTCTCTTCCTTTCATGTTTTTCTTTGGTCTCTTCCTTTCTCCCATCTCTCTTTGGTCTCTTCCTCTCTCCTCCTTCCATGTCTCTTTTTGGTCTCTTCCCCTCTCTGGTCTCTCTGCTTACACATTTGTTGATCTCTCCTCTTTTCTTCCATCTCTCTTTATGTTGTATCTCCGCTCCCTGTCCTCTCCCTTGTTTTATTGGTCTTTCTCTCGTTTCTTCTTCCTCTCCTTCGCTGCTCTCCATTCTCTGCTCCATCCCTCCCCCCTTTTGTTTCAGAAGCTCTCAGTAACCTCCTCCAATGGCAACTCCCCAGTCCTGATCAACACCACACAGTGTAATGGGAGTGTCCACACCACCTGCACCACGCCCGAGGAGCCTGAGGAGCTCGACACGCAGGTAATCATAGGCACCCATGCCCTCCCTGCACCCCATCAGCCTGTGCCCTTAAACAGTGACCTCTCTGACCTTTCTGTGACCCCATCTTGACCTCAGGTTGTGAACCCATCCTTCCCAAACCCCCGTCGCCGCTTGCGACTGCGAGACCTGGCAGAGAGGGTCATCGATGCGCAGGAGAATGAGCAGGAGCTGAACAAACTGCTGAATGAAGCACTGCTGGAAAGAGAGAGCTTACAGGCGTAAGCAGAGGAGTGCTGGGGGTGTGGCTGGCGAGTCCTGACCTGGGACTGCAGTATGCAGATTCTGTCCCCAGGGGTGTCTGCTGTGGAATATCATGTGCACCCAAAGACAGGCACTTAACCTGCATTCAGTTCAGTACCCAACTGAAAGATACTTTGGTGCAAGAAACCAGTAGCAAGTTGTAGGGTCAGGTTTCAGACTGTAGGTGAGTCTGTACTGAGCACATCAGCCAGTGGGAATATCTGTACTGAGTTCATTGGCCTGTGTCTGTATTGGGATCCTCATCTTGTGTGAGTGTCTGTATTGATGTTCTGGTATCAACTGATGGTGCAAGTCTTTTCATATCCTCTGAGTCTGCCTTTCTTCCATTGTTTTTCTTCCCCCTCTCATGGCACCCCCTGCTGGCAGTCTGAAGGGCCGGCACACCAACCAGCTGTCCCTGCGCTTTGTGGATCCTGATCTGGAGACCCGGTACTCTGTGGAGAAGGAGAAGCAGAGTGGGGCAGCTTTCAGCTGTTCCTGCATGGTGCTGCTGTTCACTGCTGCCATGGAGGCTCTTATAGACCCCCAGTGAGTAACTGCAGGCACACACACACTCACACACACACACACTCACTCACTCACTCACACACACACACACACACACTCACTCACTCACTCACACACACACACACACACACACACACAGCAGCTCTTCTCCCTCCCTGAGCTTCCTACCTGCTTATGATTCCCAGGTTGGTGGTGAACTATGTGACCCTCATAGTGGGCGAGATCCTGCTGCTCATCCTGACTATCTGCTCGGTGGCTGCCATCTTCCCACGGGTGAGCTCCTCCCCCTGGTCCATAGCCCCACCCCCAGTTTGTTGCCCCACCCCTGGTTCCTCGCTCCGCCCCCATCCCTCGCCTTGCCCCCCAGGACCCCTCCCTCTACCCCCCTAGTCCATTGCTCTGGCTTCTGGACTGTCGCTCTCCGTGATGGAGATTGTACAATGACGAATGAATGTGTGTGTGAGGCAGATGTTCCCCAAGAAACTGGTGTCTTTCTCAACATGGATCGACCGCACGCGTTGGGCCCGCAACACATGGGCCATGGCAGCCATCTTCATCCTCACCATGGCGGACATCGTGGACATGGTGAGCGGCCTCTCCCACTCCCTTTCTCTCCCTCTCTGCCTTCCTATGTCTCGACGGCGACGTGATATTTTTAATTAGAGCGCAATTTAAACTGGCTACATTCCCCCAAGAATTCATTGTAACCGAAATATAAACAAGAGGAAGGTTGGAGGAAGGGTAGTAAAAATGGTTGGGTGAGGCAGGGAAGGGTGGAGAAGCAACCAAAAAGACTCATGTGTGCAGGGGCCCGGGGGGAGCAATTTACAAGCTGTAATCACCTCGAGAAGCCATTCTAAGAATGGCTGGCAACTGTGCCAACATTATGAGTGAAGAATTAAAAGGCGGCTCAGCATGGAACTGTGAATCTGCAGGCGTTGTGCAGCTCAGGAAGGTGATGGATGGTGGGAGCTCCACCAATCAGCAACCCCCCGCCCCCCCGCAAAGGAGCTGCTCTACTTATCAAAGGCATGATCATAGGTCACGATCCGCTGCACCTTGGGGTGGATTTCGGCCTTGTTTCCACATGGTATTTCCTGTTGGGTGTTTGTGTGAAGCACAAGCTTTATTGCTTTATATTTGTATGTAGATCTGTGCTGAGTGCTGCTCTGGGCCAGTCCGGTTCAGTCCAGTCCAGTCCAGTCCAGTCCATCCCTGCTGTGGATCTGAGGTCTGACTGTGTTGTTGAGCTCTGTTAGCCTGTTGATACTGTGAAACTCTCCTGGGGTCTGTCTGTGTGACGATGGATGTAATCAGCCCTATTCTCAGAAGGCACTATTAGCTCAGCTTTAGCTGTCTGATACCCTGCCTGCTGGCTCATTTGGGAAGCCCCCCGGGGGAAGCCTGTGCTGCAGTGAAGCGCCGGTGGAAGGTGGGGGGTGTGTGGGGGGGCTAGGGAGACAGATCTTACTGGACGGCAGTTTAGTCCAGCGTGTGATCTACAGTAGTACAGTGTTTACTACAGTGTTGTCAATATGAGTGCAGTGTTTACTGGAGTGTTGTCTATATGAGTGCAGTGTTTACTGCAGTGTTGTCTATATGAGTGCAATGTTTACTGCAGTGTTGTCTATATGAGTGCAGTGGTTGCATCAATAGGCAGTGTCTGAAACTGGCAGGTTTTGTTTCCCCTGAGTGCAGCACTTAGTTTCCTGGAGGCGCTATAGGAGAGTATAGCCTTGGGATTTCTGTAGTCCCGGGGTAACGTTGGCATGTGGATGCTGTATCTCTCATACCCTCATCTACTGCTGTGATTTTGTAGCTCAGCTGCTTGCAGCCTCCTCTGCTGCCAAAGAACCACAGCCTAGGAGACGTTCTGGAGTCCTTTGGCGATGGGGGCTGCTCGGAGAATCCCAAGTACTACAGCTACATTGCCATTCTGGCACTCGTGGCGACCACCATGTTGGTCCAGGTCAGTCACATGGTCAAGCTCACGCTTATGCTGCTCATCACTGTGGCAACCGGCGTGGTCAACATTTACAGCTGGAGGGACATCTATGATCAGTACGACCTCTTCCGCTTCAAGGATTATAGGTGAGTGCCATTACAGTGGTCGTGGTTATTTTCATCGAGTGGCCCGCAGCAGAAAGGTTGCACCTGGTGTAGCACTGTCATCAGCAGTGATGGTGGCTACAGAAGAGCATGTTAGCAAGACATCACTTAAAACATGTACCTTCCCTGTCTAGGCTGTCCATGGTCCCCTCCAAATACCAGATGACCGTGATGATTCTCATCATGATGCTCAGCTTTTACTACTTCTCCCGTCACGTAGGTCTTCCGTATGCGTGTGGAGTGAGCCGGGTTTGCTCAGGGGATCTGTCGGGTGGTGATGGTGATACAGTACAGACTTGTTGGGGCCCTAACGGCCTCCTGCAGCTTGGACAGTGTATCAACACACACATTTTTGATGTCGTAAGCTGTAATCAGATGGGGGCTCAGAGTGCTTGCACCTTGGAGTGACCCCTCTTGGCCGATCCCCATTCCCCCTCACCCAGGTGGAGAAGCTGGCACGCACTCTTTTTCTCTGGAAGGTTGAAGTACACAACCAGAAGGAGAAGGTGTGACGTTGGAACGAAGCTCTGGTAGCCAACATGCTCCCCGAGCACGTGGCCAGGCACTTCCTGGGATCAAAGAAGAGGGATGAGGTGAGGGTATGCTTGGGCCACAGTTATCATTGGGCAGGGATTAACTTCCGACCTACACTTCTGCTGTCCACTAGGGGCAGCGCAGCTGGCAAGGCTCCAGTGTTCTGTCTGTTATGTATGATCCCTTGAGACTCTTTGCTGCTGTCTGTATGTACATTGCTGCTACTCGTGGATCAGACTTTAACACATTTGGAGCAGGAATGGGGAATTTAAAATACTATGTTATTCATTGGCAAAATGTTGTCATGGCAGCTCAGGTCTAGCTTTTTTTTTTATCATTTTTGAGGAATCTGGAGTTTGTGTGACGTGTTTGTAGTGTAGGAAAAGATATACTGAAAATGAAGTCCAGACCTCTTTGGTATCCAGTCATCCCCTGCAAGGTAGTTTTTGTGGAAGCATCAAATCCCTCGCACCATTATGGTTCAGGCCATCATTGGCTGTCTCTCCAGTTTAATGTGACTTGGGCAAGGTGTCAGCAATCTCTCTCTCCCATCCACCAGGCATGAGCTCTTTGTTTTTTCCGGACACTGTGACATTTACCCATGTGCCACAAATGTTCCTGTTCAGCAAGAATGGGCCATTAACCGAGTGTCACATTATGCAGTCCAATGATTTTATTTGAATTTTACAGATTCTAATTAACCTCGTTACAGATTAGGGGAATTTGTTGATAACCTTGAATATATCATTATTTTTCCTTGCAGGAGCTATACAGCCAATCATATGATGAGATTGGAGTGATGTTTGCCTCTATCCCAAACTTCTCTGACTTCTACACGGAGGAGAGCATCAACAACGGGGGCATTGAGTGTCTGAGGTTCCTCAATGAGATCATATCTGACTTTGACAGCGTGAGTGACTGTTTAGAACATGTTGGCCATCCGTCTTCATGCACAGTAATGTATAAATGGGAGAAATCTACTGTTCTACTTTTGATCTTCTTGCTTTATAGCTGTTGGACAATCCTCAGTTCCGCTGCATCACCAAGATTAAAACCATCGGAAGCACTTATATGGCAGCATCAGGTGTCACACCAGATGTCAACACCAATGGCTACACCTACATGAAGGTGGGTGCGCAGCTACACCTATAGTTATGTCAAGCACCTGTTTCAGACCTGGTAACGGTGGGCTACGCATTTCTGAAAGTCACAGTCACCAATATGTTAATCTATAGCTATAGAAGATGCCTTTAGCTATATCAGTTGTTGACATGATAATGATTCGCTATGTCTGTGTAAAGGTCGGTTTATCCGGAGTTGCATGTACTGGAGGGACATTCACACTACAGGAATAACAGCAGTTATACTTGTCAGAGTTTGGGCAGTCGTAGTAATACCAGTATTATTACAATAACAGTTTTACCGTTTACAGATAAATTACAAAAGTATTATAACCGTACATTTACACAGCTGGTGCTTATGATGATGATGATGATGTTGCTGATCATAATAGTAGTTCTGATGATGGTGTTACTGATGAGGATGATGCTGCTGATGATGATGGTGGTTATGATGATGGGAACCCTGGTGATAGTGTTGAAGATGATGATGATGATGATGTTTAGGTGAAATGCCAGTCTGTGTTGTGCCCTGCAGAAGGAGGAGCAGTCAGACCGAGAGCGCTGGCAGCACCTAGCAGACCTGGCTGACTTTGCTCTGGCCATGAAGGTCACCCTCATGAACATTAATTACCAGTCCTTCAACAACTTCATGCTACGAATCGGTTAGCATCTTCGCCCCGCCGGCATCTGTGCTTCCACTCCTGTGTCCGTGTCTGTCAGCGTATTGCTGTGCCTGTCATGCCTGACGGGAAGTGTTCCTCACTGCTGTAGATTGTTGTTCTTTCCAGGACTCAACAAGGGCGGTGTTTTGGCGGGAGTCATCGGGGCACGAAAGCCTCACTATGACATCTGGGGCAACACGGTCAATGTGGCCAGTCGTATGGAATCCACCGGAGTAATGGGAAACATCCAGGTAGTGCACACATCTAGCTCTTATAATGAGATGAACCCGGGTTTAGTTGAACTCAACCCCCAGTTCATGGCTGGTATTCCCCTGGGTGGCAGAATGCACAGGGGTTTGGGGGCAGGGTTGGTTTTTTGTAAAACAAACTATATATTTTCAAGCCACACTTTTGTTTACAAACCTTGACGTTCATACATTCTGATATCAGTTTTTTTTCCCAGATGTAAAATTTTATATTTGTGGTGC